TTTTATTACATTACTTGACAGACAGTGTTATTCGAATAGTAATAATTTGTCTATTTCTTTGCATTATTATGGTCACTAATATGTCTGTTTGAGCGCGTATAATTGATCACATGTGACAGCCGACACACACATTCTTCACTCAAATATCGCTCAATCAATCATTTTCCTTTCCATATATATTTGTGCTTAGATCTTATTAATTGTTTTGTCTTACTTCGCCTTGCCTCTCTGCGCCTTGATTTGATGTGATTATAAATCCACCTCTGTATTCACTTGCTCTCGCGCGCATTAGTCTCTCTCCTCCAATTCACTCGATATGCTTGTAATTTTGTTATCTGTGCTGTTCGTTGATAAACCGTATTTGCTGCTTCTCATTGTCTTCTGAACTGTTGAATCGTTTGGATTTATATGATAACGGTTATCAAGGTGATTGATAAACGAATCCTAAGGAATTATCTCGGTCATACCACTGCAAATTCACTTGTGTAATAAATATAGTAATAATAGTAGTGGTTATTATGATTATTATCTGTTCATATGTCTACATATTTTGCTCCCAATGCTGTTTTTTTCTCAAGTTTTTTTACTGCTTGCAAAATTTCTAATCTACGTAATTAATCAGATGTATTTAAATATAATATACGTTTATCATCTACTGTTTGTACATTTCAGATCATTTGGTAAATTTAGCTGCTGTGTTTTTTAAGAGGTACCTCGACAAATATTCGGGAGAATCAGTGATATTTGATCAATAATCAAACAAATTAAGTTGAAGTACGTCACGAAGAAATGAAATCAGAAGGAGAGAGTGTTGTGTGTAGTTAGTAGCCTTCAAGCGATCAAAATAAATACAATCTGTTGCTAATATACTTTACAAATCATAAACACAAACGGTAATAAGGTATTTAACAAATATGACAGAAGAGATTAAGCACAAACATAATATTTACTTTTGAATCATGAACTGATCCAAGTTAGACCACCATTGAACACCTAAAAGCACTAGTGTGGGAATCTTCAGCGGTGCTCATCCATGATCCTGCACTCTTGAATCGTACGAACTGATAGTTTAACTTAAATCAGTCCATGATTTCAATAAAATTCAACAATATCCACAACCTCATGCTGATAATGCTTACAATTTAATGACGATAGAACATTGAATGCAAGTAGTCAACTATTCAGAATGGTATTTTTGCTCAAATAAAAAATGAACTGAGAGATTTAGCAAAAAAACAGTGTAACGCCTTGACTAGTTGGTCATTAGCATACTTTGTTCTTTGATTGTCAGTATTTTCTATTCTTACAACGTGTTCCTTCACTAATAATTTTCTAAAGAAGTACAAGAAGTTAGAGATTTCACTAAGACAAATAGAAATTTTTCTTTTATAATGACAAATCAGTCATATATATAGTGATATTTATAGAAATACATATTTAACCTTTAGTTACTCAACAATTTTATTTGATTAACGTTAAGATCAGTCAAAAAAGACATGGTTATTTCATTCAGTTACACAGGGTACTGGATTTGACGAAAACTAACTATTGGATTCTACTACTAGCCACAATTCAAAAATATCCTCAAGCAACGTATATGTAGGCAAATTGTGACATCCATTCATAGTGTACAAATGCCAAGATGAAACGATCACATAGAGCTCTTGATATCAGCGGTGGAAAAATACAACACTGTGTCGATAAATTTATGACAGTTAACGTGTAAAACTGATACAAATACAAGTCATTACAACAGAATGATTTTAATTCATTAGAGATGAATACAATAGCATGTGATTACAAATGGAATCATATTTTTTTTCAAAATTAACATTATTTGTGAATGGATTAGTATTACTTGACAGTGACTAAGATAAAATAATTTGTGTGGAGTAAGTTGTTATCATGACTATGCTTATTGATTTCTCTCATTTGTATAGGTAACACAGTATTATTACAAATCAATGAATAATGAATACAAAAAGAGGTATTTGAATTTGACAAATTCTTCATTTCGTAATTTCTTAGTTGTTATTACTACTAATATCACAGTGGTAAACATTTCAGGTTTCTATTATGATGTATATATTCATTAAAATGGTAATTGATTTCATTGGTAAAACTGTCTTCAGGGTAAATCTCACTATAAGATGCAGGCAATCTTTAAAATGATCACACATTCACTAAAATTCAACTGCTGAATAGTCCACACTGAGCAAATTTTTCTTTTACCTGTTAGAAAACCGATATCCTCTTTATTTTAAGTAGATTGCGATTTCAGATTTTCGGACACGACTTTTCACAGAATCAATGGCAAGTAAGTTGAAGTATGGTTAGTTCGTGACTGATGGTACAGCTTTTGAAATAAATCGTAATTGCTCGTACTAAATAATTTGTTCTAAATATAAATTAACTAAATATTTTTATGTAGAGAAGAGAAGTAACAAGAGACTATTAGTTTCGTTTACCAACTTTATTAACCTGAAACATCCAATAAGTGTTCTTGTAATGATACATTTTAGACCTGTAAACTTTTCGGAATAACAATCAATGAACACTACAACTGAACTAATATATATGTTACATTAAAAGATTAGAAAACATTAAAAACAATGAACAATGATTTTTCCCAAATATCTTTAAAGTTTAGTTCCAATGTTGGAAGCTTTAGCGGACTAAATTAAATATGTTTTCTTTATGTTTGAAAAATTCATTGACAGTTATTTTTAACTGTTATAATCTTTGATTAAACTAAACAAAGATATTAAGTGAAACATTCAGGTTGTTTGATTCTTCATAATTCACATTTCAAGAATCATATAGCCTTTTTATAGATAGTGTAACTATTTCACCTTCTTTGACATTTACCTCAGAATAAATTCATTATCCCGTCAACATTGATTTTATGTTGTTTTTTGGTCATGACTGTGTGAGATATTAACGAACTATTCTAGTGCAACAACTTTGAAGTTCGATATTTATTTTCGATAGGAAGCATAAGAAATGCTTTTTGTTGAACCTTATCAAACTTGGTACTTTTCACTTTCATGTTAATAAATTATCAGTGTTGAAATGATTTTTGAAATATTAGGGAACATGACACTTTTGACATGGTGGAGTTTTAATTCAACTATATGAATGTAGAAGAGTACCAATACATTCCACCATGAGGGGGAGCTTTGGTAGAAAACTTATACATCCGATCAATAAACTTCAAATGTAGCTAAATATTGCTTTTCGGTAAACACCTCTACATATCATTACAGTGGTATCTGTATAGGATTTTTATAGATCAGTTCTGATAGTTTACATGTTGATCGCTGAAAAATTCCCATCATATTAAAACACAGATATATGAACAAAGAATATTCTTTTCGATGATTTGTCTTCAGGCTCTGTAATTATATATTCAAATCAATAACCCAAAAATTGTCCAGGCTTAAGGCAAAGTACATCATTTTAAATTATAACATATGAGTTTAGGACTGCTTGTAATACAAATATCAGTTTAAGAACAGTAGATATGACCACATAAACATTTTAACTGTTAAAAAAGCACAATGAAACTATCAATGAGCTTTTTTATGACAAAAATTTGATTATTACGAAACCTGATAAAGATACGGTAACTGGCCTACTTAACAAAAAATGAATATATTGACAAGATGAATAAAATCTTGACTGATCAACTAAAATTCCAAAAACTGAATGACCAAAAGAACGTCAGTGATAAGATAGAAAATGAACTGACCAGATCTTTAAAAGTGCTCAGAAATCAACAGGTAATTCATTCAAACATAGGTACTAATTTACCAATGATAAACGGACTATCGAAAGTAAAAAGACCGAATATCCCACTGAGACCAAGATTGGACATATATAATTCCCCTTATCATACTGTAGCAAAGTGGTTAGTAACCATTTTAAAACCATTTCACAAACACCTAGTGAAGCATAACATTAAGGATGTATTCCAGTTCATCGACAAGATCGAAAACATAGACTAAAGGACAAACGATGATGTCCTTAGACGTAACATCATTGTTTGCAAATGTCCCACTCAGAGAGACTGTAGAATATATTTGTGAGCAACTTAGAGAACAAGAAATAGAGACTACAATTCCAGTGAAGATGATTACTAAAATATACTATGAATGTAAACTTCAAATTCAGTGGTGAAACATAGACAAATAGATCGTGTTTCTGAGTTTACCACTAGGTTCCATATTGGCTGACATTATCCTCGCTGAACTAGAAAACGGTTCACTGGTACAACAGAGTGACAATTTTTCACTTCACTGCTGATATATAGACGATGCGTTAATCCTTTGTAACGACCATATTAACCTGATAGAAGCACTCGTGAGATTTAATGAAGTTAATCCGTCTACAAAATTCACATGTGAAGTGGAAAATAGTGGTAGAATAGCCTTTCTATGTGTTCTTCTTACAAGAAGGATAGATAAATCGCTAAGAAGAAACATAAACAAGAAAACCACTTTGTATGGCCTATATACAAACTTTCTTAGTTTTGTCGCTCTACAATATAAAAGAAACCTGATTAAGACACTTCATTATGGAATCAAGACCATATGCTCTATAGATGTGGTTAAAGTGGAAACATTATTCTAAGATACTATTATTAACTAAAGAATAATTTATTCATCTAGGTCAAAACAAAGCAAAAACAACTTTCTTCCATATGTTTACATTTCTTTATGATGAGGATATATATACTAATTATTTTTCAACGTGTTTACTTTCGACATGATCTTTCTCGATCCATTATTATTTGAATAAAACACATTAATAATAGTATGTATGATTTATTTAAATTATATAAATGTAAAAAATATTGTCATGACTTAGTATTGCTCTTACGACGACGACACCAATGTCGACGACAGCTGCTACATCGCATACTACTGTGAAAGATCGATATCCGGAGAAATTTATAAACATTTAGCCAAGAAAAGAGGGTATAAAGAATACCTGACCGTGAACAAAAAGCCTCTGTATATGCGCTTACAATTTAGAGGCGATGCATCCAGCGAAATGCCAATACTAAAGTGACACAGAGCAATCTAAATAACTTCTAATGCAGATAAACTACAATTATTGTTTTCTACAATTCCGATGATCACTCCGAGATTGAAAGATAAATTACCTAGACTAGCCACTTCTTTCTTTATTAATCAATTCAATCGCTGTTGTGGAGAGATTTATATTGGCTGATATTCTAGAAACTTGTATTTTTGGGCCTGCGAGCACCTCCCAGTGTGGTTAAGAAAAAGTATAGTTAAAATTGTTAACAACTTGATTTTAGCTCATTTAGTAAAGCAATATTGATCCAGTTATAATTTCGAACTATTCATTTGTTGTACTGAATAGAACTTTCTCTATAGTTTACTTTCCTGATGGACGTTAAAATTGAAGTATCTTCCAAGCACTGTGTATTCTTTTATAAAATATGAAATTGTTCTTTTTATTTGAAACCCAAACCTCTTTCAACAGTAGGACAAAACAGACGTCCAGTGTTTCCAGGTTTTCACTACTTATCCAACTTTGGTCAGTTTGTGATTTCAGTAATAATCTGATGATGAACCTTTTAAAAGTAATAAAAGAGCAAATAACGAACTATCCAGTACTTACTTATAGTTTTGTAAGAGTAATTTATGGGCAACATATTGCATTATCAACAGCATCCTGAGACATTGAACAATCTAAGTCAAGATGAACTACGGACTTATGGGCGAATGGTTGAAAACTTATTACAAAAACTATTGAACGGTAATCTACAGTAAATCATCATGATTTAATACACTACAGTTTGTGTTCAAACCATGTCTAGTGTACGGCCTTAACGTGTACCTGTCTTTCCATCTAATTATTTATGAGAACACAACGATATTGTAACTTGCCTGATATAATTTGTTGAGTTGATTACATATTTAAAACCTACCTACATTTAGAATTATACTACCTAATAAACAAAATAAAGTAACAAGATAAAACGAATCTATTTCTCCTCCTTTTTAGTCATATATATATATATATATATATATATATATATATATATATATATATATATATATATATATATATATATAATTATGTTCAGCTTGGTTTAGGGGACTGGGAGTATTCTTAATGGCTTCTCCTTGTTCAATGACATAATATTTATACTGCTGCTGTAAAGGCTAAACGGGACCGATGTTAGTAACTTATGGATTACGTTACACACGCATATGAATCAAGAACATCAATCTGAACATTTTGAAATAATTCTATCATATGTATTTCGATTTTAATGACCAGGTTTATACAACCAATGAAATAGAACTATCTTACTTGGATGCTGATTTCATTAAAGGGGGAGAGGCAAAATTGTGTCCGATGTACACACTGAACTTTCAAGTGTGATTAAATAACACAGGGGGATGACTTTTAACTTGGTAAAATTTAAGAATAGATGAATAATATTGAAGGCTAGAGAGTTCATCGAATGAATCTTTAGCCAATCAGAATGATAGAGATATGTCTAGATATCTCACTTGAAGTCCATGGTCCATTGAGTGCTGCATGTTTTAACATTTTTCTCGTCCAATCAAACACCGGGTCAGACCCCATTGAGGCCACTTTACAAAGTAACATTTTCGTCTACCTTAATCGCGTGGATAAACGTTGGACTTAACCACATATTTGGTTAGCTGAAGTCGGCATTCTTGTTGTTCTCTTTATGGATAATTAAAATTTATTGAGCCATATTACATCAAGGATATTTGAGATTGTGTATAACCATGTTGTGAGTTAAATCGCTCAAATTATACAGACATTTATTACCAATGTTTATAACGTTTTCATGCCAGAACACTTAGTTCTACGGATTATTGTTTGCATAGCCGGTTAATCTATTTTCTGAAACAACAAACTTTTGATTTACATGAGATTTTTTGATGAATATTTAAATAACTTACTGAGAACAATCAATTTGGCAAGTAATCCATTTTTGGTTGATTACACCTAATCACGATTCTTTGATAGTGAAGATCCACTTCGCTGAATATTTTGTAAAAAATTTTGTCGTTGTTGTGTGAAAGGGTAAATATACATGCCAAGCTTAGATAATAGCATCCAGTATGTCAACATGGTGGACCTAGTGAAACTAAAGGACGAATATTGCTTTTTTTCCAACTTCTATTAAACAGAATACTTTTATTTCTCTAATGAATACGTTCGAAACGAAATAGGTAGCTTTGGAATGCGTACAGATTACCAAGAATATGGAATTTACTGAAATCTCTTCTATCACCTAAAAGACTACAAACATTGGTACTGGTTGTTTAGAATACTTTAGCTCCTTAACTGTGGGATTCAGTAAACGGTTACCCATCCATTACTTCGATTGTAATTGCGACTGATAAATGCCGCTAAGTAATCTAAGCAGAAGAGGACGCTTCATACATCGTCCAGGATGTTTGGGGAGGATTGTCGTCAGACTTAGTGGACGGTTGTCTGTGTCGGCCAATTCGAGTATTTGCACTCAACTTGCCTCTTAATTTTGGTTGCATATGTAGGAAAGCTTTACTAAGGACTCGAGTACATAGACTTAGATTTAATTGTGTACGACACTAACTTCGTCACAATTATCACTATATCAGCAAATCAAAAGTAAATCTAGGGTACTATATATAGGATCAATTGAGAAGTAAAAACTGACCTTCCATGACCAACATGTTCACGCCGTATTGTCCACGTCTTGTTTTTTATAAAAAAGCGGCTTTATGAAAATCAGACGAGTAAAGAATCCTCTAAAGTGACTGTATAACATTAAGCTTTGGAATCATTGTTAGTCATTTGCCACTGAAACAAATATTTGTGAAACGGGATTATAACTGCAGTGGTTCGAAATCCTTATTCTAATTGTATGGAGAAACCAATACTCAATAGGTAAATTGTCACTTCTGAGATATATTTCTAGTTAGTTGATTGTTACCATATCAAGAAATATTTACTGCACATTTTATGATAGTTTAAGTTTAGTCTTGCAACACAGGGCGTGTCCTTACACACTTTCTAACCTTAGACTGAAATATATAGAGATCTGGGATTTTCTGTGCTCTTGATTTAATATATAATTATTGGCTATAACCAACTGTTCGACCGACTATTCAGTCACAGCGTAAAACCTGATACGTATGTACATGCTTCGTTAGGACATACGAAATTTGTCTTCAAAACGAGCATCTATTTCGTGGCTTTATTTAAAGTCTGATTTCTGTATTGTACGGCTCGAGTCCGTGTTTTTGTAGAAAGGTTAGTTTAGTATGACTATTTTGCTTAGCTTGATATGAAATTTTCATGCTTTGGTAGTTCGATTAATTATTATAAATCGTTTTCATTTCTTAATTATTTATGTTTGCGTTCATGTCCTACTTTAAGTCTGTTATGACTAAACCATTTAGTGAATCTAAATTCTATCCATTCGTGTCTGTGTACTAGCCATAGTTTATTAATTTATATTTAAATCCTTTAGATGGGCTATTTTGTGCTTCAATCCTAGTGAAATAGTAAGGTTTGTTTGATATTAGATTGTTAGATCATTATAAGGAATAGTTAGGAAACCTTATACTTTTTTGTCGAACTATACTCATTAATTAGGCATACGTACAATCTTAAAGAAATGAATAATCTTTCGGTTTTTAATTCATGCTTCCTAGATCCGGGATTATAGACCTATTAAGCTGCTTAGGCATCATTAGCATTAAGAGGCAGATAACATAACATCAGTTTATCTTAAGTGACAGATTAGTGTTCATAATGTGTGATACTCTTGTAAACGAAGTTAATAAAATGTCATTTCTAGTCAGTAATTCTAATATTATGCATCCCAGGTAAAAATTCAAGTTGTAATTGTCTTTTTATTTTTACCTGAACCTGTTGGGAGTGAAAAACTTTTGTTCAAAGACAATGAGTTCTGACTATTCTTGTGTTATCATTAATATATTTATGGAATGTTCATCCTGTAGTTATCAATTCCATTAACCGTACATGATGTTTTTTCTCTGTTCACTTTTTCTGGAAAGGCATTCTCCACTTTCAAATCCTTTTCCAAACAATTGTTCCACGACTACCACATCGGAATGTAACGAATGTTTTAAACCAGATCTTACTGTTCTGCAGTCTGCAATACCATTCCTTACAAAGCCATTACTAGCGATTGCAGGCTTCTCAAATACAAATGATATTCCAGGGTCTACGCCCACATCATTTTCTATCCAACCAGCATCACGAGTGCAAGCTCATCAGCAAAATTCAACATTCGGAAATGTAAACAGCCCTAACTTATCAGGATCGTCCTCATTATCATCATCTTTAGTTTCTCTACATTCCGCCTCCAACAGTTGTGTAACTAATCAACAAATTTCGACATCTCCCGTATCTGTACAATCAAACCATGTTTCTTCTGGCTCCAGAGACTCACGGTGGCTTAAGCTGCGTGTATGTACATCAATTTTGGGAATATCAAACTCATCTTTGCAAAATAATACTATCAGATCTGAGAAAGAGCTTATGGAGATTGAAAATAAATGTTCTATAAAGTTGGAAGGCATTAGTACAAAAAATGAGTGTTCATCTACTACAAGCTGTCAAAATGAGAATGAATCAAGCTTTCATTGCTGTGCTTTGGGAAGTACATGTCCTTACGCCCACCCACCTGTAACTGTCCGAGTAGAAAATGGCTATGTAACAGTATGTTACGACTTCATTAAAGTGAGTGTGCCCGTACTGTTCAGTTATACGTTTCATTTATAGTAGTACACTTGTAGTGTTTAGCCACCTGTTGTGTTGTGATGTTTCGACTGATTTGTTGTGATCTTGATGCTATTTATTGAAACTGAATAAAAGCCGACTTGAAGAAGCAAAATGTCCCTAGACGATCAAATCACTGGAATTCTTTGACATGGTATATATATTGCTCATACTATGTAGTCGTTAGAAGTACTGTGACGATTGACTGTTACGACGTAACTTTCTAAGAAGACTGAGCATGAGGTGGCAAAAATCCTTCTTTGAAGGAATTTCTTTGTTTACTGTAGAGATAATTTGGGAGCTGTTCAATCGGTTTCAATCAGTTAACCAGTGTCGGGTGATCCGAATAATTTGGCTGTTTGTTTAAGGAATTATTTAAATGAACCGTTGATGATCTGCTTCCAAATTTACTGGAAAGATTTTCTATTTGGTTCACTCTTGTATGGTTATCGAAACGTATTGTCGATTAGGGAAGTTGGTGTTAGACATAGTGTATCACTTGTTACTACACTTTTTGTTGGAATTATTTGTGTGGGCTATGTAAATGTATTTATCAATTCCATGGAACTCGAGTTGTGTATATAGCTATTATCAAGAGATATATTTGGATAGTGTTTATGGTCAAATTTACTGTAATGTCTTCTTGAATTTTCCTTACTGTTACATTTATATGTACACATATATATCGTAACTTGTACATTGGTGTTCTAGGCGGGGTTACATATTATAGTGCATTAATTGAGCTATATCGAATTTTTTTGGATTTTACTGTGATAGGTAGGTCGGTTGGAGAATGGCCAGACCAGAAGCAACAAATGTACTGTCCGATGTCGAAGTTTTGCTGCCTACAGTGCTGGGATATGGGATAAGTAGAATGTTTTTTTCAGATAAACAGCACCTCTGATGATTCAATTTTCTCACAACGATATGAGGTGGAAATCTTTCTTTAAGATAGCATACTTACCCTATAAGATTTCTGGTGCCATAAAGCCTAACAAGCACTGAGCCAATACCCCCAAAACTGTTCGCAAATAGATCGTGTGTGGCTGGCCTTCAACAGCTG